CATGGCAACCACCTTCGCGGACAAAACCTCTGCCTAGTAGGGGCGGAAGAGACCCTTGTGCCACGCTCAAATCCACAAGCGGAGGCGGGACCCCCGAAGCAAGATTGGCATGACAAGGCTCGTAATGGCCAACATCAGAGTGCGCCTCTTGTGTGAAAAGCATACATGGAGTTGCCGGGAACACTTTGGCCCACTTGAGTGCGGTGGCATAAGACACAAAGAAGGGAGCACTCTGTGGCAGGAACAAGAAAGCACCCTTGGAGGGGTTGTGAGCTATGAGCAATCCATGAGGATAATGGCACGAAAGGGCTGTGACCAAAATTCTGATTTGGTGATCAGAGGTGGCTGCAGAAAGCAAGGACCAAGCGGCGTCCAAATTCCAACCAAGGACTGCTTGCGCAAAGTCAACAGCACGAAGCATGAGGTGTAAAGCGGGGACGCCCGTGTGGAAGCTGCTTGCGAACCACCAGCAATGACTTGAGGTCATGCTGGTCACTGCCGAGACATTCAGCAAAGAAAGGAAAGTACGAGTCTCATGGTTCAGTGGGTCGGAGACCGGACAACTCGAACTGTGTGGTGCACGCGGCTCGTTGATTTGTTGGCATTTGCAGTGCAGACTCGAAATCCATAATTTCCACAAAGACTGCCCCTGGCGGTGCTTCACGCGTCGAATGGCAGAGCGAACAGGGGCGCTGTCCAAGTCCAAGACAGCCAGGTTCTTTGGGCACATAAACTCGGTAGAGTATGCCAGCCGAACAAATTTCGATTCCAAAGCACCACAGTCTACAGGGAGCATGGCATATCCATCCACAACAACCACGGGTCCACCAGTGAGAAAAATGTCCCCCGGGCGTGCGTGGGAGGAGGATTCGTACGATGTTGCGGCGTCAAACAAGACAGCTTCTTCCCGAAGTGTGACAAAATTGGAGCCAGCAGGCTGTGCATATGAAGGTCCAAGCCACAAAGGAGTCGAGAGCCTGAGAGAAAGAATGGCAAATCCATGGACAAAACAGGTGATGGAAGGAGAAGCTTCTGAGCACTCGACAACGAAATGGCAGGCATCACTGGCTGGAAGAAAGGCGCAACGGTCACAATGTGATAGACCTTGACCTTAGGCGTTGGCTTGTGTCTGGGGGCCTGGTGAAAGCAATCTAAGCATCAGGCTTTGAGTCTGGCTGGAATGCTGCAAAGAGGTGCGTTTGAACCAGAGACGGTGCATGAGGACGTCATAGTAAAAGTAATAATAGTAGTAGTAGTAGTAAGAGTAGTGGAAGTAATGCCGAATATCTATTTAAAAACAAACCCTTTTGTTTTGAAATTTGTGCCCTTCAAAGCCGCTACTAAACTACCAACGTTTGTGTATGAGGTTGACACAGAGACGAGATCAAAAAAAACAAAATAGAGATCAAACAAATAAAGGGACAACCAGTAGCTTTGTGGTATAAGAAAGCGACAAAGAGACGAGATAAACAAATGGACACAAAGGCAAAGTAAGGAGACAGAGAAAAGAAGAGTAAGCACACAGGCCCTTTCCCGGATGTTTGCTTAGTTAAATGGGTCGTCAAGCTGGAATGGCCACTTCCTCCTCTAAATTTTACCCTCGGGTGGCTTACCAAAGGGTGAGTCAAGCTGAAATGGCAACATCCTTCTCTAAATTTTACCCTCGGGTGGCTCACCAAAGGTTGAGTCAACTTGAAATGGCAACATCCTTCTCTAAATTTTACCCTCGGGTGGCTCACCAAAGGGTGAGTCAAGTTGAAATGGCAACATCCTTCTCTAAATTTTACCCCCGGGTGGCTCACCAAAGAGTGAGTCAAGTTGAAATGGCAACATCCTTCTCTAAACTTTACGCCTGCCTTGCCCACAAAAGGGTGAGTCAAGTTGAAATGGCAACATCCTTCTCTAAATTTTAACCCTGCATGGCCTACAAAAGGGTGAGTCAAGTTGAATGGCAACATCCTTCTCTAAATTTTACCCCTGCCTTGCCCACAAAAGGGTGAGTCAACTTGGCATGGCCACATCCTTCTCTAAATTTTACCCCTGCCCACAAAAGGGTGAGTCAACTTGGAAGGGCAACATCCTTCTCTAAATTTTACCCTGCCCACAAAAGGGTGGGTCAAGTTGAAATGGCAACATCCTTCTCTAAATTTTACCCTCGGGTGGCTCACCAAAGGGTGAGTCAAGTTGAAATGGCAACATCCTTCTCTAAATTTTACCCCTGCCTTGCCCACAAAAGGGTGAGTCAACTTGGCATGGCCACATCCGTCTCTAAATTTTACCCCTGCCCACAAAAGGGTGAGTCAAGTTGAAATGGCAACATCCTTCTCTAAATTTTAACCCTGCATGGCCCACAAAAGGGTGAGTCAAGTTGAAATGGCAACATCCTTCTCTAAATTTTACCCCAGCCTTGCCCACAAAAGGGTGAGTCAAGTTGAAATGGCAACATCCTTCCCTAAATTTTACCCTCGGGTGGCTCACCTTGCCAACAAAAGGGGTGAGTCAAGTTGAAGTGGCAACATCCTTCTCTAAATTTTACCCCAGCCTTGCCCACAAAAGGGTGAGTCAAGTTGACATGGCAACATCCTTCCCTAAATTTTACCCTCGGGTGGCTCACCTTGCCAACAAAAGGGGTGAGTCAAGTTGAAATGGCAACATCCTTCTCTAAATTTTACCCCTGCCTTGCCCACAAAAGGGTGAGTCAACTTGGCATGGCCACATCCTTCTCTAAATTTTACCCCTGCATGGAAAAGTCGAAAAGCGCGCAGCGCAAAACCAAAAAAACGCGCGCGCAAAAAATGGAACCAGGATAACGCGTGTAAACGCGCAAGCCTCCCAACCGCTTTCGCGCAAAGTGCGCAAAGTGCGCGAAGTACGCAAAACACGAAAAACGCGCAAGGTAAAAGCAGAGCAACAAAAGCAAACAAGCAACAAAAGCAGAAAGGCAACAAAAGCAGAAAGGCAACAAAAGCAAAAAAAGCAGCAAAAGCAAAAGAGCAGCAAAAGCGGAACAGCAGCAGAAGCAAAAAAGCAGCAAAAGCAAAAGAGCAGCAAAAGCAAAAAAACAGCAAAAGCAAAAGAGCAGCAGAAGCAGAAAAGCAGAAAAGCAACCAAAGCAGAAAAGCAGAATCCGAAAAAAATTCCCGAAAAAAAATGAAAAAAATTCCCAGAAAAAATACCCCTCCATTTGCATTGGACATAATTGGACATCCTCTTGAAGTATCATCAAGAGTCTACATTAGGTCTTTGTTTCCAGCACCGAGCCCAGCTGCCAAACCTCCAAAGGTACGTCGAGGCACGACCCCCCAAAGGCGCCCAGTGTCAATAACATTCCAAAACACCTCCTCCGATTCGCGCAGGTGGTGTGGAACTCACTATAGGGAACGCATCGGAAACATTAAGAAACCTCTGAAAGGCACTTGGAAAAGCGTCCTCACATTCGATCTCCAGCCAAAGCATGTGCAGTTTCTCAGGGCCAGAGTCGTGGGGTCCGGCCATGGTGGCAAAAGCAAGAATGCCCAAATGTCGGAAATATGATCATAATTCAAACAATTTGAATCAAAATTCAAATTAAACCATGTTCAATTCAATGTAGTGTATATATATATATATATATGTAAGTGTATACTACAATAGCAACTTATGAATACTTACTTACTTATTTACTTACTTACTTACTTGCTTACTTTCTTACTTACTTACATACTTACTTAGTTACTTGCTTACTTGCTTATACAGCAGCCGTTTCCATCTAATTCCATGCCTTAATTACGGAATCGTTGCTTACTCCTATTGGGGTCCGGTCCAGGCGTGAGAAGAAACGCGCGCGCAAAAGCGTCGTCACCGCTGGCGCGGTGGATGGCGAAAACGGAGCTCGGAGCGCTCTGGATCGATCGAGGTTCTTTGGTTCTTCTGATTGTGAAGCGAACTGACAATTCTGTTGAGGTTCTTCATGGTTCTTCATGGTTCTTCTGAAGAACTTCCGGAGAGCTCAACAGTTGTTTCAACCAATTTGGCCCGCAAGGGCATCCCAAAAAACCCAACCCCGGCTTGTGGGAACAAGACTCAATTGCCTCACATTGTAAGCCTTACTGTACTTTGTCGATTCTAAAAGTGTACACTGGGTGGGTCTACTTCATCCAACCATTGCACGACAGCGGGTTGAGGCAGAATACCCTTCCCAATTGACCTCAAAGGTTGAGAATCTGTGTTCAACATGTTTCAACCCTTTAGTTTTCCTAGATGTGTCTGGTGTTCAATCAGGACTTGAAACCCCTCCCAGCGATCGCCCCGCCCCGGTCGTTCCTTTTCCGGCTGCCCACGTCGGCGGCCACTCCACCTGGCGACGATCACCGAACACGACCACGGCTCCCGGAACCCAAACACGACCGCCTACATTGGGGTGGTTGATTCCAGGGGTACTTCCAGGGGTCCATGAAATTAGGCATTCTATTCCATAAGTGGAGGTCGAGTGTGAAAAACTGGGTAAGAATCCACGTATACGAAGACATTGACTTTCAAGCTGCCAAAACAATCTGTTTTAAACAATTACTGGGCACCTTCACATCCACGACAAATGCGAGAATTCACGCTCTGCAGGTGCATGCAATGAACATCCATGAACTATATCCCAGACATGACCCATGGGACCTTGGCATATATGCCGATCAGTTGGGGTGGTTTCAGGGGGTCAATGTAGGCATGTATTCCATGGAGTGTCTGGCATGGGTAGTATTGGTGTTCTTTTACAGAAGAATCACTGACCCTCTTGCGGGTGAGGCTCGGGTCCAACAACCTCCTCTTTTGGAGGATGAAACCGGTCTGAGCCTGAGCCAATTAGAGCAAACAGTCAGTCCAACAATTTGACCATCTTTGATGTGGCTCACTCTCTCTAAACAACTTGACAAGTCGAACATGTCGAAACCAATTCCAACCCTCGACATCCGTCGTGAGGACACAACTCTTTGGCTGTCCGACCTCACTCCAGCTGCAGGGCACCGACCTCACTCCAGCTCCTCCTTCACACGCTGTGCCTTCAGCGCCGCTCCTCGGTCGGCCCGGGTCACCGAACCCACTGTCACCGCCGAGGTCGAGTGGTTTCAGAGGTTTCATGGTGCCTTGGGGAGGTTCAGCTTGGTTTCGTGGGTGCCCCGGACTTTCCCGCATCTGTCGACATCCTTGGGTGTTGCCATCGAAGATCTGAAAGCACTGTAATCACAGGAAAGGTGGAGGACGCCACAATGGCTCCATCCGGCCCGGTCCATCCCCTTGACAAGTAAAGCATCGTCAAGACCACCACCGTCCTCTATGGTTTTCTGAAGTGAGCCATAGGGCAGTGTCGTATGCAATCAAAGTGGTGCTTGAGACCCCAAGCGTCAATATAGTATGAACATGACCCTCTAAACCTTCTTAGTCTGACTTGTGGCAAGTACAATCCAACTCTGTTGCAAGAATTGTGCACCAACAGTAGCCTTACCAAAACGAACTCCAATAAGCTGCTTTGGAGTTGGCCTTGACAAGGCATTGGAAGCTGCCCGTGTCTCTTTTGAGCCAGTGGACGACAAGCCCAAGAAGGGCGCGATCAGCACTCGATGGCCGAAAACAGCGAAAATTCGCTCCAAACGATGGAACCCTGGGCTCCAGTCGTACCGAACCGTTTCGAAGGTGGGACTGGAGTGGGTGCCATGTTCGGGTCCAGTCATACCGAACCGTTTCGGAGGTAACCTCCTGGAGCCCAAACGGGTTTCTCATACTGAACCACTCGCCTCTGCCACCCACCCGGTCGTGGAAAACGTTCCAGCCTGCCACCCGGATCTCGGCCCCCAAACCCATCAGCGGATCTTCTTCTTCTTCCTCTGTGTCGTCCTCTGCCTGGATGTTCTGCAACCCGATGCAATGACAAGGCCACAAAGCCAAACATGCGCATGTTGGAGAGGGACATGAGCAACGATTGAATGACACTCCGGCGAACACATCACATGGAGATGGGCAAGGGCCACTGGAAAGACCACCTTTTCCGAATGTACAATATGTGGATATAGGTGGTTTTGCACTTCCATCTTAGTGAGTCAAAGGGTATCATGAACTATCTGTGGATCTATGGAGAGTACTACTGTACCCTCTGCACCCTCATACTACTCAAAGCCCAAGCGAAACCTCTCAGCCATTCCCCGCTGCGAAAGGACACTGACTGACTGCCGTCAGATCCATGCCGCTGCACCTTGACTTGAGGCTCAGTCTTCACTGTCTCCATCTTCACCTTGGCTCAACCCGAAGAAGCAAAAGCACTCACTCACCTCGTTCTGGCCCCCTGAAACTGGCTGGTGCTTAGTAGGGAATGAGGGAATGAACCACCCCTGTAGGCCCCTCTGGATCCATTTCCCTATTCCCTACTAAGCACCAGTCAGGAAAGAAGGATAATAACAAAGCAACCCTGGTCCCTTGGATTATCGAAGCTTTCGGACATTGGAGAATAATAAGTCTATAACGGTACAACACAGTGTACGTTAAACGACTGCAAACTGGTCCGGTCAAGCATTTCCCCAACGAAGAAAATCATGTCCCCAACGTTATGAACGTAGTGGTAAGCTCAGGAATTCCCGAACCTGGTTTCCACACAATACAGTGCTGCCGGGAAGGAATTGGCGACCAACTGATTTGTGTGGGGGCGAACCAAAAAGAGTCCACACCCTGGCCCTCATCGTGGAGGAGCTCACTACCAGTTTGGTCTTCGGATTTGATGGTCAACCAGGGAGCCATGCATGGCCATGCATGGCCATGCCATCTACTTCCACCATGATCATTTCCAATTACAGTATAGCGAAGAGTAGATGCACAAACCACCAAGAGGTGGTTTATATGGACCCCCATCTGTCTAGGACACCATGGGGTCTGTCATCTACCCAGCCCAGCTGTAACCTCGCCCAGTCACAGCCTTGGGCATGGGCGGCATGGGCGGTTTCTTGGGCTCCTCCCGAGCCTCCGTTTTAGGCTCCGTCTTCGCAGCGGCGATGAGGGCGTCCAGTGCATTGGTCTCCTTAGGGTGTGACGGCGAAGTCTGAGGGGTGTGACGGACTGGATGCTACTGGTGACGGCTTCTTGTGGTGTTGGAAATCAAGAAACGTCACTGAAACAGCATGAACCACCAAATGATGATCAGTGGTGACCATCATTTGATGTTTCAAAGACTATCAACATGCTGTGTTGTTTTAGCTTTTGCTTTCCAGAAACATCGCTTAAAACCACAAAACACCTCTTTTCTGACCGTTTCTCAACCACCGGTTTTTTGCGCCAAGGTTCCACCGCTGCGTGGACCGGTCGTTCGGATGCGCACGGTCGAGCTGTCGGTTTTTGGGTGTGTGTTTTTCTAGTGGTGAAACCAATGTCTTTCCTATATGCAACGCAGTTCTCTCTCTTTCTATAGTGTGTGTGTCTTAATGTGTTATTTTTTTAAAGGGAAACTACCCCGAAATCTCGCCCCGGTAGACTGGGTAGACTGGTCGATGTTCAAGTTCGAACGCCTGGGACTCTAATCTTAGAACTTTGGAAAGCACTCCCCGTAGATTTGCCGATCAGTTGGGGTGGTGTCAGGGGTCAATGTAGGCAAGTCTGTCCAAACAATGCAGTGTCTGGAGTGCCGATCGCGAAGTCCAAGAGATTCTCTCTTGAAAAATCAAGCTGAAGGTCCAATGAGTTGGCTAAAAGGGACCAGTATCATACACGTCTCAAGTTCCAAGTTCCACACACACCATTCGAACTGCCCCGGAATTCGTAAGAGTTTCCTTTTTCATGGGCCAGTGCCTTCTCAAGTCTTCCCTGGCAAAATATGCCTCACAGGAGGCTCACTGAGTGGCCCGGCCGGGCTCCAACAAACCCCCAAATAAATATAAATATTATATATAGTAGAATCCCCACCAAACATGACTTAGAAACCGTGCCACTATCTGTTTGGGGACCACTATCAACCCTTTTTCCCAACGCTAAAAAGAACTTTCAAAACCACCATCGACGTGCTCGTCAAGCTGGCGCGTTGGTCTTTCCGCCGCGCGAACGCAAGCGGCTCACGCGCAGCCTCACGCAGCTCGCGCGCGGGCTCCATTTTCCAGCACCTTCAAAGTCTGCTGGCTCCGTTCCGTCGCTGGTCTGCTCACTTTGGATCTGGATCTGCTCCGTCAGAAGGGCGGGAAGTCATTGAAGAGTCTAAAGTGTGCCCACTTGAAAGCAATGTATAAAATACCTGAGCCACGCGGTCAACTCCAGCATCATTGGCTTGACATGGGAGGCAAGTTCGTCTGAGTTGGCCTGAAACGCTTATCATATCAGGCTTGGTATGGGCTACTCGTGGTTTTGGGGTCCCCAACAGCGAAGACTGAGTCCCTAAAATAGCGGGCTGTGCTGCCACGAAAACCAAAATACACCAAGTCCCCGAAGTCCTGGGGAGACTTCAAAGCCCAAACGCCACTTCAAGACGTGGGTTGGGGTTCCCAGCTCCTCTACATACTCAATCAGAGAACTGAAACCCACAGATGCCCAGCACATCCAGTCTCTCCCCATAGGGAAATCATCCCTGCAGGAGACTCATACTTTCGATCCCGTACTTTCCGGCTCAGCGTTGGCTCGTCCAAGGAACATTGAAACAGGTCAGCTTGGCTCGTCTGTGTGAAGGGTCACTGTTCTCTAACCTAATATCACATGTAATCTTACAATATCTAGGACCTACCATGAAACACAATATGATGAGACCAAAGCCTGCTAGAACATGAAGGACATTTGGAAGCATTTCGAGCTTTTGACCATGGCAGGGTGGATTTCCCACCGGGTTATATATACAGGATGTTAGTTATAGGCCCTTCCAGCTCACCCGAAACACCAAAAACGGATGTCGCTGGAGAAGGTGTATTGGATTGCAGCGGGTTTTTCCGCTGCACCATCGGTTGAAGCCTCGTAAGCCAATCGACCACAGGTTGCGACAAATCTGGCTGGAGAAGGATCGATCATCGATAGATGCCCAAAAACTGCAGGATTCAAGTCTCAACTGTTTGGAAGTGAAGATTCAAGACTCCAAGGCGAAGCAAAACAACATTGAACACCCAAACACCACATACAGTAACCCTTGCCGTCAGTGGGGCCGCCAAATCTGCCAAACCCGGGCCTCCCCACTTGGTTGGGGGTCAGCCTACTTCGTGACCTGAAGGGGCACCCCAGCTCGGTCATCCCGGATGGGCTCCTGGCCCATTTCCTGGTTAAGCCACCGAACCACCTATCTCCTCAAGCTGTGGAGCTGAGTGGAGCCGCTCGTGGACCCCGTTTTCGACCGGTCGAGCGAAAAGGTCCGGTCCTAGGGACTGAAGAAGGCGAGGTAGCGCCCGGCGAAGGTGTCCACACCTTCCAGGAAGTCCTTGAGGATCTCGGCGAAGATGCCATAGCCCTTGCCTATGGGGTGTGTTGTTTTTTCTGGGCAGGAGGGGCCTATAAATAGTCTAATAGGGGCTGATATGATTGCTTTATATCCCCCAATGGACATCTCACTCAGACTGGGAACAGGCTTTTCAGCCAGAACACCGGGATGGACACCCAGGAAGCAACTTCAAAACATAGCCGGATGAAAACCTTTCTGGACATCCACCTTTATATATAAACACGGCCAAGAGGTCCGAATTTCCGGGGGCACGAGGTGAACTGAGCCCAAGGTCCAAAGAAAGTTTGATCAAAATGACCTGATGCTTTGTGCCTTGTGTGAACTGAAATGCATGGTGGATGCCCCAAAAAGCGTGTTTCTAGTTTTTCCTTTTTCTCCTGGGAAGCTGCACGCTGGAGCAGCAACTGTATAGGCGTGGCAACTCGGTTGCAGCGCCAAAGTGGTTTGGCGGTCCCTGCGCATTGTGAGCATCCGTGAACAACAAGTCCCGAACTGCCGGGAACGTTGTGCACAAACCCCACCTAGAACTGCCCAAAGCTATGGCACAAATCTCGGACCGCGGGCTGAAATGAACCAACGAGCCTCTCCAAAAAACGGAATGCATGTTCAGCCAGAAACAAGCAGTTGGGCAGAACGTTAACATGTTCATGTTTTTCTAAATAATATATGTATGTTATGTGTGTTTTAATCAACTGTCTGCATTTACATTTACATCAAACGGGGTGGCCTCAACACTCGGCCGTTCCGTCGAGTCGCAAATGCCACCGAAGATGGCCAAGGGTGCTGCTGGCGGTTCAGGTGGTTCCTTATCCTCCTCTTCAATCTGCTCCTGTGGCCTCGCCATGGTCTTTCAATCAAGGATTCTCAGCTCCAGCTACCCCTAAGGAACAAAACGACCAAATATCATCAAAGAAAAAATGCAAATTGGTACAAATTGGGTTATACCTTATAAGGTATATCCCATTGACAGTAACAGTGGATGAGGATGAGGATGAGGATGATGAGGATGGTGATGATGATGATGATGATGATGAGGAGGAGGAGGAGGAGGAGGAGGATGAGGATGAGGATGAGGATGAGGATGATGAGGATGATGATGATGATGATGATGATGATGATGATGATGATGATGATGATGATGATG